CACGTTAACCCCGCATACCCGACACCAACTCGTCGGATCACCCAACTCTCACACTCACTCACCTTCCAAACTTGCTCGTTAACCTCGAAATTCTTAGAGAGCAAACTAATAGCGCTTGCAAAATTTATAGCATGTATGCCTGCGCGAAAGGTACGGGATTAAGCCCAGATAGACAATAAGAGAAGAGAAGAAGTGCCTACATCTGCATGGTCAGGCCGCGACGTGGGGGTCGTAGCCACACTTCATGCATCGATCCAGTCATGCAGGCATTCAGGCCAATTAAAACGGAGCATGCGAGGCGAGGAAGAAGGAGAAGGCGGGCAAACACAAGGGAACCAAGAAAGAAGAAAGATACAGTTACAATCACGCCCGCCAAAACGAAAGTTACACAAGGTTGAGGGCGCGATCTAGTCAGAGCCCAACTCCCAGCGCAGCAAGATGCGCACAGGCGCGACACAACAAAATTCAGAGTGCCCAAATTCATATGCTAAGTCCTAATTGCAAAGGGAATTTCGAAAAAGCACAAAAGAAAAACAATTCTGCGAACCCGTGGGGGCTCGACATCAGTTGAAAATTCAAAAACGATATTCCCGCGCGATGATCACGTCAAAAATCCCAAGTGCTCACAACAGAATAAAAAAGAAACTATGGTACAGTTATTTCTTGCGCCCATCATAGCGCGACCACCCAGCCGTTGGCACGTGACCTTCTCGACATTGATCCGACAACTTCCAACAGAAAACGAAAAGAAACAAGGACATTCATGCAATTCGTCCGCCCGCCCCATCTCCCTATAGTTCACCCATCCGACCCGTCGTATCTGCCCAAGCAGCTTCGCGAGGAAAGTTGCGCGATCAAAGAAAATAGTTCGTCACAATGTGGTTGAGAGAGAGAGGGATGGAGATAAGCACAATCTGTGAAAGATGCGGCTGGTTCTATGAAGATGCGAGATATCTTTGGCGGTCTTGCCCAAGGTCAAGAAAATGGTGGGCCTGGTGGCTGTTCCACTGGAAAGAAATCACAGGACGCAACGTAACTGAACAGGAGAAGTGAGCATTGTCAGACTTCCTCCCAGAAAAATTGTCAATAGGTGAAGGTTGGGGCTATGCTAAACAAGTGGGAAGAGCAGTACTGTTGAGTGTGATATGGAAAGACAGGAACGGGCACGAATTCAAAGGAAAAGAACTCTTTGAACGGAAAGCAAAACATATCTTCAAACAAGATCTGGCAAGGGAAGTGCGAGCACATTGGGAGAGAAAGACAAACAAGGGGAAAGTAATAAAGGGGACGGAATGGTTCAAACGCACATGGGCAAGAAGCAATAAGATAGCCTCAATCAATCAGGAAGGGCAACTTGAATTAGGTGAGTGGATACTGCACTGCAATGGGATGAACAGGAGGAGGCTAAACCACGCAGAAGAGACGCAGTGAAGGACTCCGTAAACCGGGTTAGGCAATAGAATAGGTTACAGGTAGGTGGTAGTACCAACCAGGTCCACTCGGTTGGTGATTTCTTTGGAGACGCCACAGTTGACACACAAGGGGATGGTGGGTGGTAGAGTGGCACGTTACTCAGAACAGTAGTTCCAACCGGACGAAGAGGAGGCCGGTGTCAGACCGAGATAGGTCTGTGAATAAAATTAGAATTAGTAGGAAGGACTAGGCAAGTGGTAGGGCCGATAGACAAAAGATTTAGAATATGGATAGGAAGTAGAACAGGAGGTTATCAGAGGATATATGAAGGTACAAGAAGAGTAAACTGCATTCAAGCCAAATTGACTGATGCTGTCAGGATAACTTCCGGGTTTAATTGTGGGGTCCCCAACCTCAATTATGATTGTTTATATATATATATATATATATATATATATATATATATATATATATATATATATATATATATATATATATATATATATATATATTCGAACACAGGTCTGTATTTCAACAGTTCATGGGTGTACCCACTGAGATAGACTCTTGGGTAACTATGATTGAATCTGAATAAGAGTATGAATTGAAAAAAAAAAAAAAAAAAAAAAATTATATTGTGTCCTTCGGTCATATGGTGAGTATGGTCATGTGGTGAGTAGTGGAGCCACTCATCGACAAATGTGCAAAACGAGAATGAATCTTCCCTTAAGACATGGAGATATACACCGCTATAGTTCGTTATTTCTGCATTTGGTGAGTGGTGCGGCGAGACCCATAAACATGACTTGTGCGACAACCTTCCGCTCGCCGCACCTTGGCCCTGAGTTTGCCTTCAAGGTGGCGCCAACATAGCACGCACAGGCCGTCACGATCAGGGCGGTACAACGGCGGCGGGGGGCTAGGTGCCACTAGCAAAGAGAATTGGATTGAGCGCGTGAATTTGGACGAGAATGCAGGAAATCGATATTCAACTGCTGTTCGACATCTCTTCTCAAAACAAGTCCACATTCAGGAGCTTAATCCAGTCCTCTTTGCTAGTGGGACCTTGCCCCTGGGCTTTTTTTTTTTTTTTTTTTTTTTTGGGAAAGCATAAACCTTTATTGCAACAAAACGGGTTAGCCATAGCCTCTGCTGCTACTCGATGAAGGGTGGGGGACGATGAGAAAGGGAGACACAGTTACTGGCAGGTCTCGGTCTTTGTGTTAGCCAGACCCCCACTGGAGGCCCCAACCCTATACCTTAACCATTAGGGGCAAGGGGCAATATGAAATCTCCCCTTCACAGAGAGAGGAAACTATGCTTGCAGGGGTCCCCTCTAGAAAGTCTTAGGAGTAGGTAGTGGAAGGTAAAAGAAACAGGGGCGAGGTCCCACTAGCACCGGGATAGAATAGAAACGAGTTTGTGGGGCAGTTGAGTGACCCAAATCCTGCCGCGCAGTAGTGGTGATCCCACGGTCAGTGATTTACATGTACTACCCGAAAAAGTAAGGAGATCTTCGTTCCCCTCCCCCTCTCCTTAACACAGGGCATGCCCGTGCAAAAACAGCTTCCCGCCAGAATCTTTTCAATCGGTTGGGGGTGTGGCCAACCCCAAACGAGGTTGGGGTCGGCCTTAGCCCACTGGATAGAAGATTTTCAGCATTTTACTTGCTGTTGTGCAATTATCTCATTGGGTGGAGCCCTCCTTCAATCACGGAGTATATGGAGGATGTCAGGATCACTGCTGACAGAAGTAGATTTTATTCCAAAAAAATGTGGCGGTGACTTTGTTCACTGTTTTTGCAACCACCACCATCAGATCATTTGTGATCTGATGGCTGGGAAACACTCTGCCGTGATTTCGGGTGTGAGGTCTCTGTTCCTTTTTTTTTTTTTTGGCCTTTTTCCTGTTTTCTCAGCCCAGAAATTCATAATGAACGTGTCTGGCCGCTGCCACTCAGTGTCACACTGGATCGGCCACACTCCTGTCCGACTGCTAATGGGACCTCACCCCAGAAGTTGAGAGAAGAATATAGAAAAAAAAAAAACAAAAAAAAAACGGGTTTGTTTTTTCTTTTTTTATTTGCACACATATAGCGGTCACAAATGTAGTTAGCACTATCCAGCAGCCTAGCTCAGTTGGTAAGGCACGCAAGTGGCATTCAGGAGGTCTTGGGTTCAATCCCCATTGCCCTCATGCACCTTCCTGGGCATGCTTGGCGCCCGCCGCCTAGAGATAGCCCGTTGGTAGGGGGAGGGGTACTCAGGGAGGCACAGCGACTGGCCACTCAGATGTCCCTCTGCTACCGGCTGTCCCCTGGCCGGTGCTCCCCAGTGGGGGATCCCTGAAGGCTATCAGGCCACCCTAGGGATCCCTGAAGGCTATCAGGCCACCCTAGGGTCAAGGCCACCCTAGGGATCCCTGAAGGCCCTGGGCTGCCCTAGGGATCCCTGAAGGCTATCAGGCCACCCTAGGGATCCCTGAAGGCTATCAAGGCCACCCTAGGGATCCCTGAAGGCCCTGGGCTGAAAAGGCCACCGTTGTCAGATTAGACACAAGATTGAATTTACACAAGATTGAATTTACCTGGGCTGGTTAGTCCGATGATAATACCTCAAGGCCAAAAAAAAAAAAACATTTCACGTTGGGTCGGTCGCTCGCTGGCTTTGCTCGAAGCCGTTCGAGGCCATCGTGCGGCAACGACTCCAGTTGTAGCTGCCTTGTTTTGGGCAGTTGGCCGGCTTTTGAACGACCCTTAGGGCCTAGTCGCACTGCTCGCCATCCGCCAACATTTTGAAGGCAGTTTTGACACGAAAAATGTGTCCAAATGCGTGCAAAATGTTGGCGGATGGCGAGAACTGCAACTATGCCTTTACGGCGCCCCCCCTACATCCTTGCGGAGGTGTCATTGATCGGTAATAATAGGTTTGTCCCGTGGTGAATAGGAGGACCATTTCTCGATTAATGCGTGTCATCCTTGCGCAGGGGCCATTGTAATCGTCTCTGTATCGTTCCAATTTTAACGGATGTCCCGAAGGACTGGTGAATGGGAGGGGAGCCACTAGCGTTTTATTTGATTGAAGAAATTATGTGAAACGGTGAAACGGGTAAAGAGGCTGAGGTATCATATAAAACGAAGTGTCCGGCTCAAATTGTTCACCAAAGTTGAGGATCGAAGGGTTCGAGCGCAGGCCGGACTATCAACAGTCACTTGAGGGGTATGGCTTGGTTAGAGTCCGCAGTGATACCTCGGCGAGGGGGGGCTTTTCTGTTGTTGGGCTGGAAATGCGAACGGCGGGGTGAGCTCAGTAACAGTATAAATGTCTATTAGACGAAAAATGTCTAGTAGACGAATACGAACGTGGGTTAAGTAGGGGCCAGATCCCACTAGCCCCTATTGTTCATTTCTGACCGTCGATCGGCGAAAAATGAATAATCCAGGGTAGTGGAATCTGACCGTAATGTTCATTTCTATCGCCCCAAAACAAAAAATGTCTAGTAGACGAATACAATCGTGGGGTAAGTAAGGAGTCTCATTTCTATCGGCCATTCCGAGTCCGAGTACGAGCAATTGGCGCGCGGAGCCGTGGAAGCGGAACGGCGGGGTTGCAACTGTGTACGCGCCGTCGAAGCAATTAGAACCGGGGCGTAAGCGGGGAGAGAGAAATAGTCGGCCGCGGAACGAGTCGCTTGGGAAGGAGAGCGTGATTCGGCTCGTCGCTGTACGGCGTTGTGAGGTAGCGGCGGCAGGGAGAAAGAGAGATAGAGAGGGAGGTAGGAGCAGTGCGAGGTGCGCAGTGAGACGACGGTGGTGTTTGCTGCGAAGGCGGGTCGACGTGGCCGGACGGGAAGCGCGGGAGCGAAGGAAAGAAGTAGGGACAGGGTCGGCGAGATTAAAGGGAAGGGTCTGCAGGAACGCGTGACTGGAAAGACTCAGTTTGCTGTGCGCTTTCGTGCCGTCGTCGGTAGTCTGCGAAGGGAAGGCGGGAGCTGAAAATTTGAGGTTGTGGTGAGGGCCAAGCGAGGTGGAAAAGGTTGCTCAAGATGGCGGCCGGTGTACACGCTGGAGGATTGTCCTTCTCTAGATTCATTCAGCTGCTGTTTACTCTCGTGGCGCTCGGGCTCATCGCAGACACGAAATCCGCCTGGTTTAGAAAGCACAACTCATTTGAATTTTTACTGGCGGCCAATTCTATAGCGTTTATATACGTTCTCGCGGTGTTTCTTCTCGCCGTCATTAAGCTTTGTGGAAGTGATAAGCATTTCGAAGGTGGGCTGGGATGGTCGCAGCTTGTTATGGACGGAATTATAGGGTTCTTCCTGCTTTGTGCTGCCTGCGCAGCAGCTGGCGCCATCTCTGAACTCAAAAACGGTAGCCTTTTACCCGATGGGAGCTCAGTTTGTAGTACGGGTTTGTTTAAGAACCTCGGGGAAGGAAGGAGAGCGCCTCCTTGTACGAAAACGGAAGGGTCCATTGCCTTCACGTTTTTGTCGGCTTTCGGGGTTCTGGCATCGCACTGGTGGTTTATCCACGGCTTGCACGCCTCGAAGTAGATGTTATCGGAAGGCAAACTTAAGGCGAGGCGAGCGTACCGTGCTGAGGAGACTCGATGCCGTGGAGGAGAGTGTGGTACAGGGATGGCTGGATGTTAGGGTACCTTTCATCTGATTGAGTGATGCGCATGGGATTGCGGTCGAGGGAGTGGTCGGTGTTAAGGTCTGAGGTAAGACGACAACGTAGAGTAAGTTATGAGCTCGAGAGATAGCTGTTGTTAAGGACGCTTCGTTATTTTGACGGTGTATTGGTAAAGTCGTGTATCCCTCCGATCAGTTGTTGAAAGCTTGACTGGACTTGCACCCTTGTTGAGGCTACAGGAGAGGCGCAGAAGCATTGTCCATTATGTCGATGGGATGTATTGTGAGGTGGTGGATCTGTACCACAGATAGCGAACTTGTATGTGTGTGTGAGTAGAGGAGGACCGAGCGAGCGAGCGAGCGAGAGAGAGAGAGAGAGAGAGAGAGAGAGAGAGAGAGAGGTGTATAGAGAGGAAGGTTGAAGTTAACGTTGGTTGTCGGGAAGTCTCTTGCAGAAGATAGGGATTGCAACATGGCGAAGGCCAGGAAGGTGAGGTAACAGTTCGTCAATAACGACTCTTTGGATGGAAGCCGGTCGCTGAGCGGATGTATTTCGCCGGTGACGAGGGGCCCTGTGTTTCACTACGTCTCTCCTTTTTCGTTTTCATGACGGAGTACGTGCTGTAAAGATTCAGTTTTGCCCTATTGCCTGGACAAGTTCCTGGTTCTGTTTTGGTTGTTGGTGTGTCCGACCGAAAGGTATAAACTTCCACCACGACTCATCATGTGAGAAGCATAGAGTTGAGCTTGGACAATGGAGTCGCGAGCTCCTGTCCTGCTCTGAAGTGGGGCCTTACTACATGGGTACCACCAAATCTTCTCCTTTTTGTCGGTCACTTTCTTACTGTTCCTTCTCCTAGCATACTCGTCAGTTTTGTTGCCTGTGTCAGTTTTCGAACTTTTTGTTCGATCGAGTGGCTTTGAGTAATTGTGAACGAGTTCAACTTTTTCACTCAGGCCTCATGGGCCGTCGTTGTACAGTGCGTAGTGAGCGTCCTCTTTAGTTCAGACTCTGGGAATACGTCGGAGAATAGGAGGAGAGTGAAGGAGCTGTGGTGAGGAGGGAACCATGGTGTGTAGTGAGACCGGGGAAAGGCATGAGGGTAAGACTGGTAAATGGTGGGTGCCTGTCAATGTTGCCGTATATCTCGTGAAAAGAAAAACGCTCTGTTTTGGCGTCAGTTTGGGGCTATTGTTGTGTCTTTTCCTATTCCTTTTCATGTCGATCGCTGCTGCTCCAGTCAGAAATTATGTCCGTCGTCACTGCTCTTCACGCTTGCTTTTGGAAATTGACACTATTAACGAACGAACGCAAAATCTGTTTGAGCGTGCCATGCCGGTGAGCTTGCGGTGATTTGTGGATTTTGAGGTTGTTGCATGTGCAGTTTTTGTTCCTATTCGCTTTTTTGTGTAAATGTTTTGGTTTTCGAGTTTTGAAGTGAAGTGAATGCTCTGAGTTATTTTGAAAGTGCTGTATTCGTAGTTTTTGTTCCCATTGTTTTTTGTCTTCGAGCGGTGGAGCGAAGCGAAGTGAAAATGTTGTGCCACTGAGAGCTGTCTAAGCTGAGTATGACCGGCGGCGAGGAGTATTAACTTTAAGAAGATATATGCTGGAAATTTGTACGGCAGATAGACAGCTTTGCTGCCCCACACCTGAAGTGGAGTGGCTGCCATACGCATGAGGTTGTGTTGGTGCATCTCCAGGCTACCGTCTGATTTGTCGTAGGAAGGTAGCCCCACTGCAGGGTCTCGATAGCAAGGAATAGGCGGGGAACGGCGGGATCAAATCTGAAGGTCTAGCAGGCTAGCTGTATTTTGAGGTAGGTGGCAAGGGGTGATGTCAAATAGGCAGATAGACCTCTTATTTTTTTAAGCCCGGTGTGAAAGGATGAAGGGATAACTTTAATTGTATAGGGTAGACTACATTTCTCGTAAGCCCAGTGGGAGGGAGATGATGACATTGAACGTAGGTTTGTCGTGGAGTATGACATCGAATGTAGTCTACATATGTTTCCGATCAAAAGTATGGTGACTCATTCTTTTCGAGTTGATATCTTCCTTATCCATACATGTGCCTGAGGTCGATTCCTTCTTCCTCTACTACGTTGTTTTGCCTGCCACGTCGCGCTCTTAAAAGTTAAAACGCCTTGTCATTATCGCTGCATGTGGACTGAAAGTTGCCCCCAATACGGCCATAATGACCGGGTTATGTTCGGGTGAGAACGCAGCTTTTTTCTCGCTTCCGAAACAAACGAGCTGTTCGTCGACAGTCGGGTACATCAGAAGCGGAATCTCCTGTGGTTAGTGGTGGTCCCAAACTTCGGAGGAGGGGGGTGAAGTGGCGGCGAAAAGTCGATGTCGCGTTTTTCGGTAAGGTCGATTTCATTCATTCTTAGATTTCGCTGAATTTTTCTATCTCCTAGACTGTCTAGACATGCACTTACGGTCGACTTTGGCTTCCTGTTCCTTTCGGATTTCGTTGTCTTGATTTGATTTCGGACGGGGATCAGTGCAGAAAGTAGTATATCTGATAGTTTGAGTTAGGTCAAAGGATCGGGTTTCCTTCGTGATGTGTAATATATTTATATATACAGTTCACAGTTTGTCACAGCCCCTCGTTTGTTGTCCTCTTCTCTCTCTGCCTACGGTTTACGGGGCAGTTCTGTTTGTGACGATATATCCTTTGTTGTCCTCTTCTCTCTCTCTGCCTACGGTTTACCGGGCAGTTCTGTTTGTGACGATATATATATGTATGTATATATATATTATTGCAAAAGAAAAGCCCCGAATTCGCAGTCCTATGGAGAGTAGTATTACTCGCTCACCATTAGTTTCTACGGGGAGAAGTATGGAGACTATTCCTCGAAAAAGTATGGAGAGTATTACTCGCTCACGATTAGTTTCTCCGGAGTCTTCAAATCCTAAGATAGCATCGTTGCTTCGATCCTTCGTCTATTGAATACGTAAACAGGACCCGCGCGCATCGAGAGCATGGCTATTTGTTAGGGCTAAGAAGCGGATGCGGTAGCGGTTCTCGGTTGTTGTGATTTCTGTGCCACTTTGAGTTTTCCTCGTGAGCCGTGAGGTGAGCGGTCTCTATCGTTGTATCTGACTGTTTTGACGTTTCACCGGCTTTATGCCCGTAATGGGAGTTAAATGTATGTATCCTGCTTATTGCAGTGTGTGTCGTCTTGTATGTGTTTCTACCTGTTTGCTATGACTTCGTTCCGTCTGCTAACGTTTAAGGTCTGACGGTCCAACTCCTACGATCGAGTTTGTGATAATCTGAAGATGATTCAGCAGCGAGGATGGTATTTGAGATTGGTGTGGACTATTTATAAGACCGCCGGTATCTCTTGGACAGCGGCTGTTCCAGCGGACTGCATTTAGTGCTTGCCGGCGTCCATTGTTGCCTGTTTTCCAGGTTAACTTTTTTTTGGGTGCTCGGTGTAGTCATTTCTCGTGCAGCCGTAGTGTTTTTCTTTTCGAATCGTCTCGGGAAGTCCATTCGATTTATGCTTGAAGTTTTCAGGTTAATTTCTGTGTGGTTTCAGTGAAGCCGACATATAAGCTCTCGAGTTGACGCTGCCGTTCGATGATTGCATCATAAGAATCGTCTGTACTTCGATAGCGTTGGGCTTAATACTTACAAAACTCTCAGTTGTCCGGGAGTGAGGTAGTCATCTTTCGTCGGTACGTCGATAGCGTTGGGCTTATATTTACAAAACTCTTCAGTTAACTGGCAGTGAGGTTGTCATCTTTTGTTTGTATTAGTCCGAATGGTCTGTGCTCTGCTGAACGTTTCTGTGCTCCCGAAATTAACTTCTGTCGAAGTGGTCTATGCTTTGCTGTATGTTTCTCTGCTTCCGAAATTGACCTAGGGCAGTGCGTCTTCTGACGAAGAAATATTGTTAAACCACCAGTACTTGGCCCAGCTATCTGCCGCCGAAAAAAATAGAGTAGAAACGTTTCTAGTTGGATGAATTTGGGCTCCTGTAGTGGCCCGTACGTTTCCTAAAATTGCGTAGCGTTCACGCTACGCGACTTTAGGAAGCACTGGTGGTTTAAGGAATCAATCGACGTATTGGACTCATTCCAAGCGTGTAAGAGCAGTAGGCTGGGATTCTCCCTCGAACCCGACAGTACGTCGGTTCTCCGCATCTTGCGGCCGATACAACTGAGGCGCACTTTCGATGTGCCCGCCTGGCGGGGACTTTGATTCCTCGTTGGGCGGGGCATAAAATGTAGGTTTGTTTTAGGGTCCTGCCACACTACTGGTGGGTGGAGGAAATGGACGAAGCGTCCCCTTTCAGTCGCTTGCGGACCCTACTAATTAACTCGATCACCCCAATGGATCGAGGCTCGTTTTGCTGAAATGCCACTCAAAACCGCAAGTTTGAGAACTGATCGTGACGAAATGAAGTACAGATCGTTCGTATTAATGAGAGAGATGCAAGGGCAGCGAATGCAATCCAAAATACTAAGTTGACAAGCAGAATGTAGTCATCGATTTGTGAACGCGGAAGAGGGTTAAAGACCCTCGAAAATGAAGATTTTCCCACCATTTGTTTTATATTTGCTGTTTGACTCTAGTTTGTGTGTCTTGCGAGCGCAGTGTCCTTTGTTGAAGATGGCATATTGAATCTCCGAACGATGTGTTCTTGTTCGGAGACTCTCTGGTATGTTACTCCGCGAGCGCTATTTGTGTGTCGACTGTGTCGCAAGTACCCCGCCCGTGGAGAACTCGCAAGAGGTTTTGATAGCCTCTGGACGTGATTGGAGGTTTGATAGCCTTTTCTCACTGCTAAATTGTGATGCCGATGCGGACGTACAGTCAGTATGTACTCGAGGTGTTAGTAGTTCCGTAGCGAGACGAAATGTGACGTAGGGCTAGGATGTAGGGGTGTAGCGTAGGTGTTCCTTTGTGTAATTCCGAGACGCGAATTTGAGGCCCCAATCTTGGCCCTATCTCATCGTGTTTTATATGGCAGAACCTTCTGGAAATGGGCGCTCTTCGTGTTTTCACACGAAACCGACTCCGTAGCGACGCGAGCGTGTGATTTGCTGAGAAGACGAATCGAACAAGACCCGTTTGCGAGTGCATCTCGGACTCTTGTGAACGCTTTCCGAACTCTCTTTGGACGGCGGCTTGCAATAGAAGCATATGTTATCCTGTAGCAAACGAGCTTGGCGTGCCTAAACTGGGTTTTGTTCGTGCTGCAGCAAATGAGCTTGGCTTTTGCCTAATCTGGATTTTGTTCGCACTGCCCTGTGTCACTTTGTTCTCTCCGTGACCGGGTGGGTTATCGTGCACTTGCCCGACGCGAAGAAATTCCTTGGGTAATAGAACGCGCTTCTCGTTCAGCAGACGTCTTCGGGGATCTACGCAGAGGTGCTGGCCCCAGAGTCTCTTGGGGCCTGTAGTAGATTGTCTGGGCCTGCCTTCGAAGTTCCCGTTCCACAAGGTCTGGGCTCGTCCGCTTCCGCTTTCACCGAGGCTGGGCTGGGCAACTTATCAGCCCTGGTGCCTATCACTGCTGTTCGGTCCAAGTTACCTGCCCATTCATTGGTAGGGTAATGGTCCTGAGTGCTGGTCACACTGAGGTAGGATAGTGGTATAGGGGGTGCGCTCGCAAGGAGTATTGACGTGAGGATGGGATGAGGTGGGCTCATATTCCAGGACATCCACGGCCTACTGCTCCAGGTGATCACTGTGTACGCAGTGACTGCCCTCTACAACACCATGGACTTCAGAAAAAAGAAGAGAAAAAGATGCGAGGTTATGAACCCGTGGGGATCTGGCGAACGAATTGGCAGGTAATGGATTCTCGCTCGCCCGTTGAAGCTTTGGGGTCGATTGGAGGTAACGAATTTGATCCTGGGGTATTCATACAAGCCTCTTAATGAACGGGTTCTGTGTTTCATATTTAAGTTCCACCGAGGGAACAATATGCCCTCGTGCCGTATGGTTCCCTGAAAATTCGCTATTATTTCTCTCTGGGTGTAGGGGCTCTTGACGGACACGGTCGCCTTGTCACAGTATTTTCCGGGATGGTGTTATGTTGAAGTGACTCGAGTTCAGGACCCATGCCTCTCGTGGCGCGCGACGCTGTGATAGCGGAGTGACCTTAGCGGAGTGGCCTTGTTTTAGGGCCTCGTTCAACACCACTAGGAAACCCTGTAGGCGTTTCATCGTTCCACCTCTCCCTAATGATGAAAAAAAAGATGCGAAATTTGTTTTCACGTTTGCGGGCGTAAGGGCGATCCCTACAAAAGTAAGGACTCCCCACAGCCAAAACGGACGCAAACGCAAGAACGGCCGTGGAGGTGACTTGAAAGAAGGGTGAAAAACGCCAATATTTTTTTCTTTTTTCCTCAGGTGTTTCCTTCGCGTCCTTGGTCCAAATGCTGGGTTGTCCGGTACGCCATGGGACGGCGACGGTAGTCTCCAACGGGCAGCGCCGTGGCCCGGCTGTGGCCATGCGGTACCTCCGGCTAGCCGTTTCGGCTTGCATATGTAGCCGACCATTGCGGGTGTCCCCGCGGAGGTGGGCGCGCGAGTGCCATTGGCGGCGTGTCTTTCGAATGCGAAGTGGGTGGTATGCGCGGCCCGTCGCCTGCCGGGCTTTTTCCTCGAGCCGCTATATTGCACTCCTCTGCTTCCGCGCTTTGTCGTCATCGAAAGGTAGCAGATCTGTGCGTCGTGTTTAGCTGCAGGTGCGCATGGCTGACATGGTGAGGAAGTTGGCTCTGCTAATTATCCTGTTTGGGGCGGTGGTGCTGCTCATAGCTCTGCAGGCGTGCCACCTGGCCGGTGCTCGCATCCGGCGTGGAAGGAGGAAGGGGTTGAAGACGCTTCGACAGGGCGCATCGGGGAGCAAAGGGATGGGGGACGAATACAGTCGGGGTTGTGAGGGTTTTGGGATTGGGAGGGGGGTGTACGGAGGAGGGAGTGGAATGCAACACAAATCTGATCCAAATTTGTATTCGCATCTCCCTTCTCACCAGCAGCCTTTGCCTGATGACATGACCTGGACGCCCCCTCCGTCGACATTGGGTCTGGCATGGGGGTCGACACAGACGTCTTACGACACACCACCGCGAGTTGAAAGCACCGGAGGGGGTGTGGGTCCGATGTCCGCTTTGCTGGCCGAAACGCGGGGCAGAGGCCGTCATCCATTCGATTTGCAACTGTCACCGACGGCCACCATGGATGTGTCTAGAACGTTCCTCGTCCAGCGGAGTGGACAGGGTGGCGGTGCGAGCACGCAGATGCATGCCAGTGTCCTTGACGACGGGGTGTCAATGCATCGGCCGAACCACATGTCAAGGCCTGCGCCTAGCCAGGACGCAGCAGCGGGCAGCGTGCCGTATCACCAACCTGCGGCAGGCGCGGCCATGCAGGATCAGAGGGCTGATGTGGGTGGTGTTGCGGAATCCCCTCGATGCGTGGAGCGTATCGTCTGCCGGTTCAACAGCTTTGCGGGCGACCAGCGAAGGTGACGGAGCAGGCGCGGCCATGCAGGAACGGAGGCCTGATCTGGGTGGTGTTGCGGAATCACCTTGATGCGTGGAGCGTATTGTATGCCGCTAAAATGTCCCCGAATATGGCCCTCGACATTCGAAGCTTGTGATGGAAATATTCATCCGTCGCGTCGTTTACAATGTCCAAGTCTCGCCGCGTCCCGCCCGTTCGTCTTTTCATCCAACCGGACGATGTACAGACGTCTGCCAACGCCTGGGCTACGGCGGCCTCCCTCCTCCCCCTCCCCCTCCCACCCTCCGTAACCCGTCCACCGTCTCCATGTACCGGCACACAGCGAGGACAGCACTGGCGACCATGCTCTTCTCACTGGTTGACAATCTCCTCGCCGCCTGTGGATCGCGCCCACTGTTGTCCATAGCTAGACTATGCGGCGCACAAAACGCACACGACAGCGACACGCGAAGCCACGTGCGCACGCTCAACGATGGATGACTGGCGCGTACGCTACGGGAAACGCGACGGCCAGGAGTCGAGAAAGCGATGAGCGCGAAGGGAACTGGCGGGCGTGGAATTTGAATTCGAATGTCCGGGGTCCTAGCGCGCTTTAACCTCCACGACCGAATGATGCTGCGCGCCCGTGACAGGCCTGGGTTTCCCACGGGCCCAAGGCAGGCGGGCACGATTTTGTCCGCCGCAACATTGGGTCGGACACTCACATTCAATTCTCGCCCGCGCAAGGCGCGAACGGGGGCACCTGAAATGTAAGTACGATAAAGTGTAGGGTTTTCGTACGTGGTTGTGGAACGAAAAACGGAGTAAGGGAAAACTAATCACATTTTTGTCGTAAGGGCGCCCGTACAAAGTAAGGGTTTTCTAGTGGTGTCGAACGAGGCCCTTAGGGTTAGCGCTGTTACCTGGCAAGCTTAGGAGTACGACCTCCCTTCCACAGAATGTGGGTATGAGCAGTAAAAAAAAAAAAACAGAAAAAAGAAGAGTTGGCCCAATGGACCGAAGGGAATATGGGTGGGTGACCAAAATGGCGAGTACCTGTTTTTTTATGAAAAAACTGCCATATAATCCTCTCTCAGATTCTGTTTTCGCGTTGTTTTTGCCTATCACTACCTACCTACTTCTCCTGAGGTTATACAGTGGACCCCTACAAGCATTGCAACCGCACTGATGGATTGCATATTGCCCCCTGCCCTGACAGTCGTAGTCAGGGAGCACGGTGGGGCCACCGGCCGGTGTCAGACGCAAAGACCTAGCATCTTGCCAGTGGCTGAACCTCCCATTTCATCGTCCTGCACCCCCCCCATCAAATAGCTGCAGTCTAGGGCCAACTCTCCCACATACCACATGCAACCCACTTACACTCACACTCACTCCCGTGTTGGCCAATGACGCTACTTCTGCCCATAATAGGTATGGATTGAATTCGCACACTGTGCTCCAAACGCCCGATCTCTTTTGCACTAAGTGTGCCAAAGGTGGTCATGAGGCTCGAACCCACAACCTTCTGAAGGCTACTTGCATATCCAGTTAACTAAGCTAGGCCGCTGGATTTTATTTCTTTCGAAAACGAACAGCACCTTGATTACCCGATGAGACTAGAGGCCGGGAATGCCTCCACAAACAACCCGGAAATGTACTGGGACCACAACTCAGCTTAGGTACAGGCACATGGGCAGTGATTCAGGATCAGAGGTGATCAGTCCAGTTGATGTAGCTCAGTTTGAGCACCAGTTGGAAATGCGCATTGTGGTACGAGGTTGTGGGTTCAAAACTGCGCAGTCTAGAGAATGGACACCGGCAGGGCGTTAGAATGACGCACGACTGGACACACTCCCCTGGGCTGATGCATGGTACTATTACAGACACTGCCTGCGCACCACCCAGGGGGTCAGTCCATGGGTGTGCTGGTCTAGTCTTCACGTCGGTTGCTGGTTGTTGTTGGCTTTGGTCACTCTGATGATCTTCTCCAGTCCAGACACTACACACATTATATCCACTTCCCATGGTAGTACAAGTGGTAGAACCCTCCAGTTTCATATTCGGGGTCACAGGTTCGAGTCCGGTTCCGGACTTTGGCGGGGGCCTGTCCAGATAGACCTGTCTCTACCACATACACACACAATGAGATACTACCCCAGATAGCACAATCCATACACACGCTATTTATATATATATCATATATATATATATATATATATGATTTCCAGTGTGACAATATATAGCTAGTACTCACTTTGCAGATGCTACATGGTGGGGAGCAGCGTACAAAACCATACGTATAGCCCACGGGCACACGTCTATGATACAGAGTACATACACACATACACAACCATAGGGTTGGCACATACAGAACCATAGGGTTGGGAGGAGGTTACGAACAACTGATAATGATGACAAGCGTCTCGATGATAAGTACCCCACCTTTAAAATACAGCTAGGGTCTGTGGTGGGAGAGTAGAGGGCGTGAGTCACTGGTTAGTCTGCTGGGTTCTGATTGGTGATGATGATAGGCGTCTCGATGATAAGTACCCCGCATTAAATATACAGCTAGGTCTGTGGTGGGAGAGTAGAGGGCGTGAGTTACTAGTCGGTCAATTTAGGGGCCAATAGGTGATTGCTTGAGCCTGCCGTCCGAAGTACCCATACGACGAGGCTCGTTCGACTACGCTTCAACCAGGGCTGGGTAGCTAGCCCTGGTGCCAGTCACTACTGTTCGGTCCAAGTTCCCCTCGATATGTAGGGTGATGGTCCTGAGTGCTGGTCACACTGAGGTAGGATAGTAGTAGGGGTAGGGGATGTGCTAGGAGTATTGACGCGAGGATGGGATGGGTGGTGGCCTTGCCTCAGAGCGACCACGGCTGACCGCTTTCAGCGATCAATGTGTACCTAGTAACTCGCCTCGACAAAGCTGGCTCCCTTGAATGCATCGACTGTTTTTTTTTTTTCTTTCTTTTTTTTTTTTCTTTTTTTTTTCTCTCATTTTATAAAGCCCAGGTTGTTGTAGAGGCCAGGTTCCAGACATGCAGTGGTCGCAGTCATCAGTAAGCCTTTGGTTTTCCTGGCAATTACTTGGGAGACGGCCTCCCTACCCATCCTCGAATTCCCACCATACTACCTCAGTGTTAAATTGTTAATCGCACAGGACTATCACCTTGCCAGATCACTTGTGATGCGCAACCTCACGCCCTGCGCTATCTTCGTTCGGAGTGTTTAGTTTGCGGAAGGAGGCCCCGGAAAGACAGCGAGATGGGGTGTGCCAAGGATTTTTGGAAGATTGAGTGTGGGGACACGGACAAAACCGAAATCCCCCGTGCCGGTCCGACTTCGTAAGAAGGGAGGGTCCGTCACTACGCGAGCGTCAAGGGAGAAAATGGCATGCGTGGGACGTTTGGCACGGGGAAGTTGAATCCAAAAAGTATCGTTGCTCTTCGCTTCGCGTGGAAGGGAGCGGGGATGCACTTGGAATCTCGCTTTCGGATCAAATCCTGGCGCCGCTCGTTGCACAACTCAGAATCTGATGTGGAGGGTCTCAGCCGTGTAGCTCGTTCCTTATGTTCGTCCTCACTCCGTACTTGGTAGTGGAAGTCTTTTGATTGGTAACACTCGAAGCGACAATAATCGTTGCACAGAGTGTAAGGCCAATGGGGCGACATTGCCGTCCACGGAATGACGATCAACTCATTAAACGGTAATAGCAACGAATAAGGCGGAAAATGCGTATCAATGAACCAACAAATCCGGAGCACCGAGTTTCGGGAGGGAAATAATATCGGCCGATGATCTTGGCGACGGCGTCTCGTACGTCCCACTCGCATACACGTGTTCTTTTCTCGTTGTACGGGAAGGGATGTGGCGGGGATATGAGAGGCCGGCGCCCAGTCAGGTTGAGGCCGTCAGTCCACATGGCAGTCAATCAAGCACAAGGGTCGGTCTCAATCAGTCATCGGCACCCATAATGGTTTATCATGCCCCTTCTATCAATCAGGTTTTTTCGACTATCGCCTTTATTTACTTTTAGACACGCGAAGCAAAGTGTGAGCATTCCTTCATTTCTCCCTAAAGATAATTCAGAGAGAGAGAGAGAGAGCATTTGCAATGATCTGATGGTCTTGCCAAAAAGTTTCATACAGAAACCGTGGGGTTAGTACTCGTATTACGTGATTCATACATGCAGGTCGTAGGTGGCGCACCTCTTCTTTTCTTAGGAGATAGATCACAGTCCAGATCACACTATCGACAGAGCTATACACTCTTGCATTCTCGAACAAAAACCCAACAACATTGCTCTTGTCAATCACTCAACCCTTCTCACGCATTCCATTTGCAACAATTCTTCAACCTAATCAAAGATCAGTCCATTAATAATGACCCACACTCGTGGTCACTAACCGCGGAAGGTGCGAAAATGGGCCATACGTTACTCGAGTTTCCGTGTGCTCTGCACCCCTGCCCCGTCATCCTTTGGCTAATCAAAATGCCGGCCCACTAGGCAACCATTCCATGACAAACATACATAGTCATAGGGAAGGTAGGGAGAAAAAGTGCGAAATGGATACAATAAAGGGCAATCATACAAAAACCGAGAGATGAAAAAGAAGTTCCGGCTTAACTGTTGCAAAGCTACTCTCACACCAAAGAACTGATTCGAGACAAGAAGACGCATCCACCGTAAAGGTTCGTCGTGGCCTCGGGCCATTCACCTATCCGACTCTGGTCGCTATCCTCATACGTGCACCGACGACCCCTGCCGTGGCGTGCCACCTTCCACCACGGGGATCGTCACTGTGCCGACTTAGGTTCTGCACGGGCTTGCCCCGACCCCGATCCCACATTCGGCAGTCGTGGCGATCAGTCGCACATCCGGGCAGTCTACAGTCAGCTTGTCGGGATTTTTCGACTTGCGACACATACACACATTATCTAGTCACCGCTTCCCGGAAGCTGGCTGACGAGCTGAGAGAGAGATTTGTGGATGCGCTTACGAAATTTATAGTTGCGAGAAGGGAGATAGATGCGGGGAAGGATGAAGAATGAGGCAGAGGAGGGCAAGGGAGGGTATAAGGGTTATCGCCC